TTGTCTGTGCCCTTGTGTCTAAAGGAAAGTCTCTCTATTGACCTTTGGGTCATAGGTAGCTCATTACCCTCCCTCTGACTTTGTTAAGTCATTTTGAACCATGAATTAGTTAAGCTAAAACCTACTAGCCATTAGAATTTGCTTAAGTCTAAAAGACCCACCTTTTACTAGAAGTGTTTTTCAACTAGAATCCTAGGATAGAGTTTGCCAACTCTATGTAAGAATCATGGCGATGATTACTTACTCCCCCCTTGACTTTCGTCAAAGTCAATCCCCTTGAGAGTACAACTTAGAATAGAGAGTTTTATTAAACTCTACATAAACATTGTTATGTTTGTTCCCCCTTTTTTTGAACCTTGATCATAATCAAAGTGTTCATCTATCCCTAGTAAGGTGAACTACGATTGCTTTGATTCTATCCTAGTTAGGATACGTAGGCAGAAGATGTGATATCTTTGTGAGCAAACTTAGAAACATCACCCTTAGGTATTTACCCTAACCCTAATCTCAAACCATAGCATAACCATAGCAAGTTTATCATACACACACACACACAAAAGGTTCATGTAGAGTACTACAGATGTTTAAGATGTGAAGTACCTACCCTAGGTATAATCAACCCCCGATCCCCGAATCTCTCAGTGTTGCTGTTACATCGCGCAAAAGGTATTTCTTTATTTAACCTTTCCTTTGTATAAATCAAAGTCCGGTTGTGAACTTAATGAATTAAGATTCAAGTTAACCAATAGCTTGACATCCGATTCTCACCGCAACAACTGCTACTTGCATTCACGTTTTGGTTCCCTAAAGAAGGGACAAGGCAGAAAACATAGCAGTAAGAATATAATAGAATATATATATATATATATATATATATATATATATATATATATATATATATATATATATATATATATATATATATATATTGTTTAATTATTATATAAATAATTTATAAATACATTAATTAAATTTTGCAATCGCCCGCAAGTGTATATTGATTGATCACCCTCAAATGTGTTATCCGTATAGCTTGATGATCAACTGATCTAGAGGGCTAGGTCTTCAACTTGGAAGGTAGTCGATCTCTGATGAATGCGTCTGACATTGCTTTCTGGGTTTTGGATGCACCGACGTCTTTGGACTCGAACCTCCTTCGAGATGTCTCAGACGACCAACTACCTATTCAGATGCCTAGGATATTCTGGTTGGCATTTGTGGCGATTGACAGCTCTTCAATGCCCTTCTGACTTTGTCTCACACAAAGCCACTTGGGTAGTTATACCCAACATGTCTCGGCATACACGAGTCGTCCTTCTTCTTACTTACACCCTGACCGCCTCTCCTAGATTTCCCTTGGGAACAAAGCCATGGGGTTGAGAACTTCTCCATCTGATGGGGAGCCATGTGACCCTTACTTACTTCATCGACTAAATAACAGACTGATCGTCTAATCTCCTGGGTTACCCCATGTTCGGGACTTCCTCACATTTGGTGATCGTCTAGGATCAGGCTCTAGTCATTATGAAGATGAGACATCTGACATGAGGCTCTTACGATGATGAGACATCCGACACGAGCCAAATGCAGGAACATTTGAGTGGAGGGGTCCCGAAATACTCCTCGATTGGTCGATTTTTCCTTTGTGAATCTGAACCTGTATATGAGGAAGTTTATCAACCGATTTTGTTAAGGGTTCAAATTCGAGACTACTGGTCGGTTAAAATGTCCTAGAAATGGATCTCGATCTAAGGATGTTTCGCGACATCATCTATCAACGGAGCAAGGTCAAGATGAGCAGTCGATCATGATCGAATCATAATTTGGCGGACTCCGCCGTCACTGAACCGAGTTCTCAATTTTGGGAATCTCGATTCTTTTTTCAGAAGGTGATTCATATTTGAGAATCGAAATTGACTTTGTGGAAATAATAGGGATCATAAGTCATTCCCATAGGAGGCACCATTGTTCCATTACAGAATCAGAAATGGAGGAGATCATAAACGATACAACTAAATGAAGCTTCACGGGTGATTCCGTTTTACGGTACCGCATATTAAAGGTTGCGATAATAGTGCTTCTTGAACAGAAAGCGTTAATCTTGAATCAACATTGTTGATCAGTGTTGATCTTGAATTAGCATTGCTAATCTCTTATACAACGATTTAGATGGGGGTACATGAATGGTTAGCACTCCAACGTCTAAGTCAGTTTAGGATTTAAGATAACTATAATGCAAGTGGAGATTAGACATTGTGTACCAAAAAATCCTTTGTGAAGAATTTATACATTAGGTTTGATGGAGAATAAGTTGGCCTTGAGTTATAAGGCCTTTGGTTGGCGCAGAGCAATGTACCTTAAGCCTTTGACTGACAGAGAGCAATTGTCTTTAAAGATTTTACACACAAATAAATGAAATTCAATAATATTGTATTGTCATAAGATACGACACTTATTAAATTAACCTTATCAATATCTTGAAAGTAGTGGACAAATGAGGACTAAAATGTTGATAAGGTTTAAGTCTATCTTAAAAAATGAGATATTCAACAAACGAGAACAAATCCTTATCAGTTTTAAAAAGTAAAAATGATCATACATTTAATTGTTTAATGGATGCCGAAGGATTTGCAAGAGATTTTCTAAAAAATGAGAATTAAAATGCCGAGATATTTGGACTATTCAACATCCATTAAACCACTAAATGCAAGATCATTTTCATTTTTTTACACTTGACTTCAGAAGAGTGTTCCATAATCCTATTCAATTAAATTTTATTCATTTGAACAAATTTTTTACTAGATTATCAAATCTAATATTATATCTTTAAAATTAACCACTTACCATGATGATGTCCAAAGAAGTCACCATGCTCAAAGGTATACAACAAAAAGTATTTTGCACAGAAACATTTCATACCAAAAACGCTAATCGAAAAACTAAATTGTGAATCTAGATTTAAAATCTAATTAATGGCCTATTTTTGAAATTTTATTATAAATGGTAAGATACATAACAATGAATCGTAATTTAAGTTGTGATCCATCACCAAAATACACAACAACTTACAACAATTAAACTAGTTTATTCTCAAATCATGTGACAATATTAAAATATATCGAGATACAAAGAACATGTAGCATACACTATTGCCTCGAAAATAAAATATGATTAAAAAATTAAATATATTTGATATAAAATATACAAGGAGATTTTTATAATAAAATGCTACCTTAAAAATGAATTATAATAAAGAATTTGAATGTCCTTGATAAGAAATACAAATAAACTAGTGTATAGTGTACGATAGTACATAATTAATGAAATATAGCCAAAAAAATTAAATATATTTTATACAAAATACGGACTATTAAAATTTATTTAGATGCAAAAACCGTCTAGCCTACAATACTACCTAAAAAATAAGATTATCAAAAAAATTAAATGTACTTGATACAAAATGCAAAGTAATACATCATAAATTAAATATAACCAAAACGTTAAATATACTTGATATAAAATACTAGAAACGTGTAACGTAAAATACTATATTAGAAATGAGATATAACCAAAAAGTTAAATGTATTTGATATAAAATACATACCATCTAAAATATATCCTGATATAAAAAGCGTGTATCATAAAATATTATAAAAGTATGATATAATGAGAAGGTTAAACGTATTTTATATAAATATATAAAATATATATTAACTAAAATGTGTCCAGGTACAAGAAAAAGAAACGTGTAAAAGTGAAAAAGTTAAATGTACTTGATACATGATAGATAAACTAAAATGTATACAAATACAAAAAATGTGTAATGACGAAAAAGTTAAATGTATTTGATATAAAATATAGATCAACTTAAATGTATCCAGATACAAGGAATATGTAGCTTGTAGCGTAAATTACTACGTCAGAAATAAGATATACCCAACACGTTAAATATACTTGATACAAAATACATTTCAATTAATATGTATTCCGATACAAGGAGTGTGTCGCATAAAATACTACATCTAGGATTAGATATAACCAAAACGTTAAATGTATATGATACATAGTATAAATCAACTTAAACATATTCAGTTGCAAGAAACACGTAGCGTAAAATACTACATCAAAAATAATATAACCAAAAAGTTAAATTATTTGATACAAAATACCTACAAACTAAAATGTATCTAGAGACAAGAAACGTGCAACAATGGAAAAATTAAGTGTATTTGATACGAAATGTATATCAACAAAATTATATCTAAATACAACGAACGAATAGAGTACTACCTCAAGAATGAGTATACCTTAAATGTTAAATATACTTTATACAAAATATGAAAAAAAATATATTTGACTAATATTTTTTTTATTTTATATTTCCTAACAATTTTTTTTCTTTATATTTCATTTAGGAGGAAGTATTCATTATTGTTCTTTCTTTCCTCAAAATTTACTAATTGAATTGCAACACTCAATCACAATGCAATGTAGACAAAACAAAAACTAAGATCAACAAACGAATTACAATGAATGTAAAGTTACTCTATCATCTTACTGCCAAGGTTTTTGTACACAAGAAGTAAAGAGAAAACATAAAGAGAGAGAAGAGAAGAAGTCTAAAAAGTTCAGATAAAATTAGGACCAATGCCATTACAATGCTATATAACAGGATCCAAATAACTTACAACAACAAAGACATAAACCATCCAAGTTGAAATAAACCTTCACTTATCACATAACAAAGATGGCCATGTCCTATTTCAATAATCTACAACATAATCTTAATCATAATCATAGACTCAGAATAATACTCTATCCCCATAACCTTAAACTTAAGACTCTAACTCTAACAAAGTAAAGTTTTTTTTTTCTTTTCTTTTTTCTTCTTAATTAACAAACTACAATGATAAAATTCAAATATAAAATGACAATTAAACTCTCTTAAACATCAATTGACATAAGTCACAGCAGCAGAATCAGCGGCGGACAGACGGAAGTCAGAGATGGAGGGCGGTGGCGCGGATCTCTTCATCATTGTAGTTCATCGGAGCAGGCAAATTGAGATCAATATTGCGAGGCTGAGGCCTGCAAGCCGGTGAATAAACGACAACACAATCTTCATCATCATCAACCACAGATGAAGAAGAATCACAATCACTGTGACAATCCTCAGCAGCAACAACTGGATTAATTGGAACAAACACAGGAACCCTAGAGGTTGAAGAAGAACCAACCCTAGGTCCACTGAACGACTCCACGGTACTACTCATCCCGCTCGAAGTAGGATAATTGACATAAACCGTGTTGTCCTCTTTCGCAAGCACGGCTGGTTTAGGCCTACGGTTAACCGGAGGTGGAGGAGGAAGAGGTAGCAGAGCAGCAAGAGCCTCAGGAGGGATAGGGAAATTGGTCTTGGCTTTGGCGCCGCGGAAGGAAATTGCAGCTGCATCGTAAGCCCGGGCCGCCTGAATTGCAGAATCAAAAGTGCCTAACCAGACACGGGCTTTCTTCCACGGATCTCTTATCTCCGCCGCGTATCGGCCCCATGGCCGCTTCCGAACGCCGCGGTAACGGATTTCTGGTGCCGCAGGAGGATTCGGTCCGGCAACCGGGCTTCGATCTACGCGGGGTGCGCCTTTCGCTCGAGCCATCGATGCTGTCACAGAAAAAAAAAAAGTTTAGTTTTTTTTTGTTTGAGAAATGAAAATGAATAAACTCTTCCCAAACAAAAAAACACGCCCCTGAAACAGCGATTTTTAATCTGACAGAAAAAAAATAGTGTTTTTATTTTTCTTACACTTATTTTACGAAAGAAAGAGAGAGAAAATTTAGTTTTGGGGACCCATATGGTCTTCCTTGATTTGATTTCAACGGGTTTGGAATGACTTATATAGCCGCAGCTCTTGGCTTTCATTATAAGAGGAGAAGGGTAAAATTGGAATTTAGTAGTTATATAATTGAATATTTTGAATACTTTTTCCATTTTCAGATTTTTTATATTATAAAAATAAATATGATTTATTTAAAAAAAAAATATACTACTGTAAAATATTTTATATTGTCAATCAATCATAATTATAGATTAAAATAAAATTTTTTATTTTTAAAAATATTGATATTATATAATATTTTAATTGGTTGTATGTATAAAATTGTCTTATAACAATAATACACTATCTTTAAACCTTTTATTTTATTAAGATAATGAATATTTTTATTCGGTCAAAGGAAAAAAGTCAGTTATTGAAAATATAAGGAAATTAATTTCTTAAAATATAAATATTTCTTTATTTTCAATTTTAAAAAACCTATTTAATTTATGACATAAAATAATATAATCAAATATAATAATAATTTAATTGTCATTGATAATATAAATAATTTTATTACCTCTTATAAATAATCAAAAATTCATATAATTGTATTTTATTTTACATTTCCCCCATTTTCATCTCTGTTTATATTTAAACAAACATGATAAACTTGATATTTTGGGTAATAAGTATAGTTTATTTTATTCAAATAATTAATGAATTGTTTTTATTTGGTCAAAGTAAGAGGGATATTATAAATATTATATGAAAATAATCTTTTAAAATATAAAGCAATAAAATTACAAAAAAATGTATTTATTTAAAAAAGTTATTTAAGTTAAAATATAATATAAAGTGATATTTTAATGGTTATACCACTAATGAAAAATACTTTTATATTAACTTTTAATGAAAATAATAAATTAATTAATTTAAAATTAATTTATATGGCCGGTGATTTTTTTAAAATAAAATTATAATTAAATAATTTAAATAAAGTAAAGAAAAAACAACATTTGTATTAAAAATAATTTTATAACTATTCCAAAATAAATAATGTTTTTTTAAAGATAAAGTCAAGTATTTGTCGCTGACATGACACCTCTTGTATCTATTATTAAAATATAAGGTATTGTTATTTAAAATATTTCATTTTAATTTTTTTTCTAAAGTCACATGTTATATATTTTTTTAGTTTTTTTTATAGCTAAAATGTTTTACACTAATAATCTATAACATATTTAAAGACAATATTTGATTTTTGATGTAATTTTTTTTTTATATCAAATTTACCTATATTTTAAAATATATAACTTACACAATAACTTCCATTGAACTACTACTATCATCATTCATATAACTCCTTACTAATAATTTCTCACATAATTTTCATGTAAAATTAATATTAAATAAAAATATATCATTTATATTTATATGTGTATAATAAAAAAGCGGACAGACGGATACGCGAGTGCCCGTCTGGACGCTAATATATTTAAAATTAATTTAAAAATATTTTATTTATTTATTTATATATTATTTATTAATTTTTCTTATTTGTGTAATTATTTTTAAACTTTTTGCATATTATCAATAATGATAATCTTTAAACAATCTTTTTTTTTTAATCTTGGGCCAATGCCGCACTTTTGATTATAAGAAACTTTAGACCGTTGATAATATTTAATTTTAATTGTATATATATATTAAAGACAAATATATGAGACATTGTTATGCATAGTGTATCAAAATTAATTTTATAAAAGTGTTAAATATATATATATATATATATATATATATATATATATATATATATATATATATATATATATATATATATTATATATATATATATATATATATATATATATATATATATATATATATATATATATATATATATATATATATATATATATATATATATATATTAAGGAAACATAAAAATAAAATAAAATTAAAGTTGAACATAGTATGAAATGATCAGAAATCTTTTTCAAAAAAAAATTATTATGTTAGTTTTTGAAATTACTATCTCTCTTTTGTGTTCTGCTTTCTTTTATATTATAACCTTATTAAAAAAAATTAAAGAAACATAACAGATGACAATGAGATACACTAATCATTTTTAAAATGTTAGGGATTGCTAATTATCTCTATATGTTTCTCCTAGATTCTATGAAATTTCAAAGTTACTTATTTTGCTTTGTCTGGAATACAATCTTAATGCCCGCTAATTAATTAATTAACATTGTGTTGTTTATTTGGAATGAGATTTTTCTAAATGAATTTCATATCTTCAGATGATAACTTCATAATATCAAGTTACATAATTTACATGCTACTATTCTAAGAGTCACTTTATTGTATAATCAGTTTCACAAATGCTCTTACTAAAATTCTATAACATATTTTTTTAAACTCTTTCAAAAATTTGTTCATTCTAACGGGACGAAATTATATTTCCATGTCATAATATTTAAATTAAAGTCATTTGCTCATATGTATTTCTTATGATTTTTTGTTTCTTATAAAAATTGTCCAAAAAATATCATCTGGAATCTAAATTTTTCAGGATTTTAACTTCTATATATATATTTAAAATGCTTTCTTGAACTCTCTTCATTTTCAATTGTTATAGGTATGATGCACGATAACGTTATAGACTAAGTTAATATATTGTGATGGTGTGCCAAGATTTCCATCTCTGTATATATTGATGTTGAAAAATAATTTCACTGAACACGAATTTACATTACGTTATCATAGATTTAAATGAGTTAAATTCGTGTGAAAACCGCCAAATTATATTCTAAGATAGTAAATAGGAGGTTTTTCTTTTTAATTTGATAAAAGAGAAACATTTTCTACAATAAAATGTAAAAAAAGTAATAAATATAAAAAACTTATCTGAAAGTTGAAATATGTTGACATCCAAAGAATGAAATATGTTTGTCCTTTTAAGTTGCACCATAAAAAAAATATTTGATAATTTAATATGATTTGCATTGTACATAACCGCGCCTTTCACTTGAGCCATCGAAAGAGAGAGAGAAAGTTTAGTTTAGGGGACCCATTTGGTCTTGTTTGATTTGATTTCAACGTGTACCAAATGACTTATATATAAGGGTGCTCCTGGGTTTTCATACAAGAGGAGAAGAGGTAGAATTGGTATTTAGTATTTATATTTTATGAATATCATTTTACATTTTTAGCATTTTTATTTTTATATTATAAAAAAACAAGATAAGATTAATTCTTTTGGTAATAAAATATTATTTATTTTATTAAGAAAATTAATGAATTCTTTTTATGGACATTATTTGAAAATTAACCTTTTAAATTATTAAAAAATAAAAAATACCAAAAAAATATATTTATTTAAAAAAGTTATTTAAGTTGAAATATTTAATAAAATAACAATTCAATGAATATACACCAATTTAATAAAATAAATTAGATTAACTTTTAATAAAATAATAAGTAAATTATTTGAAATTAATTTACATGAAGGGATGATTATGGAAATTATTTGAATATTAATAGTTTAAATTATAAAAATAAAAAATACCAAAACATATATTTATTTAATAAATTTATTTAGGTTTAAACATTAAATAAAATAATAATTCAATGAATATATACTCTTTTTTTAAATCAAAAGATGTATATATAACTCAAAAAAGTGAAAAGAAGTACAAGGCAATCGCAAGGATTCAGTCTCCAAAAAGGCAAAAAAAGAAGAAGACCAAGAGACTAAAAATCCATCAAGTTTGCAATGTGCACTCTAAGTTTTCTATTATATCAGCCCCTATAAACAATCATATCTATAATATTATCCACAATATTAGTTTTATCAACCGCATTACCATAACAAACATCATTACAGTACTTCTATATGCCATAAACAGTCTCGGTAGTAGTTAGTTTCAGAGTGGATGCTCTCCAACCTTTTCATTTTGTACTTCTAACTAACCACATAAGAATATTTCCCAAATAGATTTTGGTTCCGGGCAATCATAAAACAAATGATTTATAGATTCTTCCTCAAGAGTGCAAAAACAACACATATTGTTTGAAATCATACCAAAACGAATAAGATGTTGCCTTGTTGCCAATCTACCATGGCAGGCTAACCACATTGTTGTCATAGATCTTGACCTTGTAGCATTTTGGCGAAAGAGTTTCCTTCAAACCACCTTGGGCTTATCATCACACATCACATTATAAACTTCCTTCATTTGAAATTTACCACTAGTTAGCATACGATCCCAAACCTGCTGAATGTCTATCAAATTCGCTCTCTGTTTGAGAATGGTCTTCATAATCCAAGAAAATTGCCCATTAATATGAATATCCATCAAATCATCCCGTTTTAAATAATAGGTATGCACTCACTTCATCCACAAGCTATCAGATTTTTCACTAAGGTTCAAGAGCAATTTAAGCATTCCACAACTTAAGATCAATAATGTTTAGTCCTCCAAGGTCACGAGGTCTACAAACATTATCCAAGCAATAAGACTTTTCCTACTCATATCAGATCCACCAGTCCAGAGGAAAGATTTGAAAATAGAATCAATCTTTCGAATAACAAATTTAGGCAAAGGAAAGCATTGCATCCAATAGTTTGCAACAACAAAAGTCACACCCCTGATGATTTGAGCACGACCTATATATATGAGAAGTTTAGTGCTCTGGTGTTTAGTACAACCCACAATTTTACCAATCAAGGTCATGTAATGATGAATAGATAACTTCTTGCATGTTAAAGGCACTTCAATATATTTGAATGAGAGAGGGCCTTCTGATGGATACTTTTCGCAAGTATACAGAGT